TTCTTTCATACTTTAATTAGTCAATTATTCATTCCTTCATTCATTCATATATTTGTACCAGTATGGATTCATGGATACTGATTGTATACTTCAGGTTACAATCCAACATTACAAAACTATTTATCAGTTGCTCACATTGTTCTAGGTGTAGCCATTGGAAGTTCTTTCAGTGGATTCCCATGTCCCTTTGAAACAGCCCGTCATTTGTTTACTTGAGCTATAGAGAGACTTTGGTAGGCAAACTACCCATACTGGAAGCCATTGAAGAGTTTTGAGAAGGAGAAAGACATGATGCCGTTTGCATTTAGGACTCCCATGGCTGCAGTGACCAAAATAAATTATAGGGTGGCAAGTAATGAAGGAAGGAGGTGGTAGACTAGCTCTTACTCTACTGTGGGTGGGCGATGATGGTGGCTTGGAAAAAATGTACAATAGTAAAGATGAAAAAGGACATTTTGGGATATAATTTTACATTGAATGATAGTATTTCCTGATGGATTGAATGTGGAGTGTGATATAAAGAATAGTCAAGTCCAAGGATTTTGTTCTGAGCAATTAAATAATGGGTGGTACTATTTACTCCTATAGTGAATGCTGGAGAGGGAAGAATTTTGGAACTCTAATGCATACAATATACTTATATCTATCTATCAATCTATATAATGCACACAACATATATGTATACACCAGAGCCACATTAAATAAAGCTCTACTTAAAAGAGCAGTTGCTTCGAAACCTTGTTTTGACTGGTTTTTCTGAGGGAAATCAGTAGCATAATTCAAACACAGGCTCTTGGGCCAAGAGAGGCAGATGGTAGCTGTTCCTTAGGCTTAGGCTTAAAGGAAGGGCTTCCATTTATTTTTCTGAATATAGTTCCCAGTATCTTAGTTTATAAATATTTCTCTCAGACTGTGAATCTGGGCTTGTTTTGTCTGTGTACACTCAACTCTCATAGCCCTGGGCGACGTTAGTCATTTGGAAATCAGAGAGATCACCAAGAAAAGCAAATTGAGGCAGCCCTCAAAAAGGTAAAATTCCTCCTTCCCAGAAGTGAGAATACTGAAAAAGAGACTTGATTGTGAGAGACTAGGGTTTTGGATTAAGATGTTATATAAATTTTCTGAAAGAGTTTATGGGTAATTCTGTCAGCCGACAGATATCTGCTATGGGATTACTGTGTAGAACACTTGCTGATGGTACCAGGAAGGGACTGAAGTTCCCTAATCACCCAGGGGATTAAAGATACTATGCAGAAGGAGTCTAGACTAGGTTACGGTCTCCCATCAATGAGAGCTGATTGTACTCTGTATCATGTACTTTTACCGCCTTGGACCATTGTACATGCTGCTTTCTCCATCTGGATGATACTTCCCTTTCTTCTCTGCCACTGATACCATTATTAACTATATAAATTGCATTATATTGACTCATTATTCTTACTTAACTCAGTTTGACTTATGCAATATTACCGATAAAATCAAGTAAAAAATTCCAGGTGCCTATTGTATTATTCAACACACGAAAATAAATATATAGTATTAACATAAAAACCTTGTTTTTTGTTTCAAACACAAGCAAACATCATTTCTCATACCACCACTAAAATGTATACATGCAAGGGCGCCTGGGTGCTCAATTGGTTAAAAGTCTGATTTCGGCTCAGGGCATGATCTCACGGTTTGTGAGTTTGAGCCCCGCGCTGGACTCTGTGCTGACAGCTCGGAGCCTGGAGCCTGCTTCTTGTTCTGTGTCTCCCTCTCTCTTTCCCTCCACTGCTCACACACTGTCTTTCTCCCTTTCAAAAGTGAACATAAAGAAAAATTTTTTAATGCATACGTTCAAACACAGGCTCCTGGGTCAAGAGAAGCAGATGGTAGCTGTTCAAGACCCACCGGATTTTGCTTTATTGGGATGAATTATTAGTAGGTTACCAGTTCTCAAGTCTTAATTGTCTACCCTCCCTTTATCCTTACCCTTCGCTATGCATCTTTGCGGTGTTCCTCCACTGTGGACAAGGTACAAATCCCCTCTCTTGGGCTTGGGGCTTGGCCTTGGACCTCACTCTGGCTGATGGGATGTTAATAGACAGAGTACAAGTGAAGGATTTCAAGGCAGGACTAAGATGCTTCCGGTGAAGTACCTGGGGTGTAAAATTTAAGGGAGCAATCACTTTCAGGGTGGGCTCTCTGGGCTTGGAGGTTTGAAAAAGCTATTGGACTTCTCTCTTGCTATATCCTAAGACCATGCAAACAATATACCAACTGGTCGCCGGAGAAATATGGGAGATGTATGGAGCAGAAGTGCCTCATGCTACTGCCCGAGTCAAGTTCAGGCTAAGTCAGGGTGCAGCTAGCCAGGATCGGCCAACCCTCAGTCAACTTCCAGCAAACTGACCATTGACTCATGAACTTCAACAGCAAATAATTATGAGTTCTAGCCACTGAAACTGGGGCTGTCTGCAATGCATAAATTAAAATGTATGTGTTTTCAATTCTGTATTTTGAGCCCATCAAGGGGAAAGACTATCTTAAACATACACTCAGGTGGGGCCAAGTACTCAGGAGATGCTACCAAAAACATATTAAGTAATGATTGATGCTTTCCCATGAATGTGATTGTCAACAAAAGCCATCCAAGTTCCCACCCCAAGGTATTTGCACCTGACACTCCCTTTCCTTGGCAAACTTTTCCTTCAATATCCACACAGCTTCCTCTCTTGCATCCTTCAGTGTTCTATTTTATCAGAAGCTTTCCCTGTGATGGGCAATCTATCTGATTTATCACCACTTAGCCTCTGTCATCCCTCTACCTGTGGTTCTTATCCTGGGGTACAGGGCCCCTCCAGAGGGGTTCTGAACAGGGGCGGCCAATCCTGTGACATTATATATAATATATGTGGTGACTGTGGTACAAATGTTCATTTTTCTTGTGAAAAAATTCCATTGCTTTCAACAATGTTTAACAGCACCAATGCCTCCACACAGGTTAAGGACCAGAGTGAGTTTCCTGAGTTTTGTTTTTGGTCAGAGCCCTATCACCTTGTCACATAATGCTGATTTGCTTAGTCTCTGTCTCCTTGCAGACATGGTGGCAGGGATATCGCACTTGCCAATTTGTTCCAACTTGCGTTTAAGATTTGTGTTGTTCAGTTCCATAATTAATCACTAAAAAATTGGGTAATCTTTATGATAAACCTGCAATGCAGTGGAAGTCATTTTACCTGGGAGATGCTTGTAACTTCCTTTTCTGCCAAGGTAATGAAGCATCATCCTACAAACTCTGCATCCCAAGCAGAAAGAAACCCCCACTTTTTAAATTGCCTTTTAGACAAAGAAAGGCATTATATTTGTAGCTGTCAAATGTGCTATGATTCAGAATCCTTTTTGAATGTTAGCCCTCCGTGTTCGTGGAATAAGTGGCTTGATTTAAATTCTGGCTCTGGTAACCGACTAGTTGCAAAACCTGAGATAAGGTGCTTACTTTCTATTTGTCTCAATTCCTCTTCTGAAGTTACAATACAAATAGTATTTACATCATGGAATTCCTCTGAGTTTTATGTGACTTAATGGTTATAAAGTGATTCAATAGTTCATAGCATGTAATAAGCATTCAGTAAATGTTCAGTCATAGTTATTTCTTTTTTTAAAATTTTCTAATGTTTATTTCTTTTTGAGCGAGAGAGACAGTGTGTGAATGGGAGAGGGGGCAGAGTTAGAGGGAGACACAGAATCTGAAGCAGGTTCCAGGCTCTGAGCTGTCAGCACACAGCCTGACACAGGGCTCGAACTCACAAACTGTGAGATCATGACCTGAGCCGAAGTCAGACCCTTAACTGACTGAGCCACCCAGGTGCCCAGTCATAGTTATTTCTAGTGGTTATATCTATGGCGACACAGAAAGGACTATATTAGTTACTATCTCTCAGGATTGAACAAGATTGTTTATGGGGGGGGGATGTGTATTTCCATTTTGGGGTCACCACCAGAGCTTTCGACACAACTGCATTTATGACAGTGTCTAAACAAAGTGTTTATTTATTTTTTAAGTTTATTTATTTTTGGGGGGGAAGGCAAAGAGAGAGGGAGAGAGAGAATCGCAAGCAAGTTCTGCACTGTCAGTGCAGAGCCCAATGTGGGGCTCAAACTCATGAACTGAGACATCATGACCTGGACCCAAGTCACATGTTTAACCGACTGAGCCCCTAGTGCTCTTAACCAAAGGAGAAGCTCCTTTAATGAGTCATGAGTGTTCTTCTGAGACTTTTACATATTGTTGGGTACCAGGACTGCCAGAAATAACATGATGATAGTTTTTGGTTTTGGAATATTCATTAAACACTGTACATGCATTATGTCATTTAACGCTGACAACTTTATGAAAGAAGAGTAACCTCATTTTCCAAAGAAGAAAAATGAGACTTCGAGAAGTTTTAATTTTATAAGATAACATATCTAACAAATACTAGCCCCACCTTGATCTATTTCCTTTTCTAGTAGTATGTTTCCTCTTTGATACCACCCACTACTCCAACACAACAACCATTTTTTGTTTTTGTGCTCCTTTGTCGTATGTATATTTTCTCACATTGGCATAAATATAGTTTCATACCCCACCTTTCACCAAACATTATATTATTAATAATATTACTGAATTAAAGTTGTTACTAAGTATTATCCTTCTTGGCTGACAAAACATTGGGTGACTTTCTCGCTGTTTTTACATGGCAATGTTGTCTCCAATTTCTTTGTACTAATAGGTAACTCCAAAATAAGTATGTTTCTGTGTATTTTACTTACCTTGAAAAATTTCCTCAGAAAAGTTAACACAAAATTAGTCAGCTAAGTTACATAAAATATTTTACAGTTCTGATAATGATGAATAACTTTTTAAATATGTTATATCAATTTATTCTATGACCAAAGGTGAAAATACAGGTTTCCCACAATTTGGTGGCATTAAATAACACTATTTTTTGTTAAGTTAAATGGATGTAAAGTACCTTGCTTTATATTTCAACTTGCATATTTTGATTACTTGTTTATTAGGGTGTTTACACATTCTTGTTTAATATCTCCACATTTTCGAATTATCTGTGTGCAGTTTAGCCATCTATCTCTTGCAATCTTGATTTTTCCTCTATTGCTTTGTGTTTTTCCAATAAAACACTTTTTTTCTGATTTGAATTTGTGTAAACAATTACATAAGTTGTTGCCTCTCTTTTTCAACTGCAAAATTTAATGGATTAGGTTACAATTTAAATTATTTCATTAGGAGATAGAGGTGACTGTAATTATTTCTAGGGGATAAGATTTTCTAGACAAAATATTTTACATACACCGATCAAAGAAGTTGTACCTGGTTATAGGGCTGATCATCGAAATATGCATCACTGAATCCTCTGTGCCATATTTTGGTCAAGGGTACTAGTTATTTATAAAATTCTCTGAAATACATAAATGAAATGAAATATACTGGCACCTAACCATCCAGTGCAAATATTGCTTCAAAAGAACATAAATAATTTTTAAATCCACGGATATTTTTAGAAAGCTGTTCATTTATTGGATTGAATAAACAATACGGAATTATAAATTTCATAGTTAGGTATTCTTTTTCTAGAAAAGGAACACTAGCCTGTGAGTTATTATTCACATAGTTTTTTAAAACCTGTGATTTTTCATTTTACCTCAAGCTAGACCCATCTCCCACGAATCTCTTTATAGAAACTACATGACAGCTTCAAAGGTGTCATGGCAGCAATTAACTACCTCATAACTTATAATAATACCAACCCTTTCCTAAACCTTGGATTTGAATGTTAATTAAGCAATTAGAGGCACAGGGGACAATCACCAGATGATGCCTCCTGGTAGAGTTTTAGTCAGCAGACAAAAATGATGAATTCTATAACGATTGTGTTCAAAATTAAAACAAAAAAAAAAAAACTCAAGCAGCCTACCATAAAAACCAAAACAACAATCACAAAAGCAATCTGAGAAATAAGAGGCTATTTTGTTGTGGGGGACTTTTTTCATTTTTATGAGAGTGTTGGCAAATTCCATTAATAAAACATGAACAGGAACTCTTCATCCAAGCTTTCCCCCTGTGATTCATTTTTGAACTGCTGATTTGAGCAAATCCTTCAAAATGGAGCACCATATTAAAACCAAATCCAGAGGTACAGATGGAAAGGCAAGCTCTTAGCATATGTTTGGATTTTATGGATGAAAGGTTCATTTTGATGTGCCCTGCCTATTAATGAGTTGCCCCATCTTCATATAACCCAGACTAGATCAGCAAGTTCAAAGTCCTCTTTTGCTGCAGTTGATCACCCTCTCCTTTACATTATCTCTGCCTCAATTCCCACCCTCTGACCCTACCCTGAGGAAAAGGTCTCTATAATAATGTCACCATGCAACGTTCCAGTCCCCCCCTTTTTTTAATGTTTATTTATTTTTGAGAGACAGAAACAGAGCGTGAGAAGGAGAGGGGCAGAGAGAAGAGGGAGACACAGAATTCAAAGCAGGCTCCAGGCTCTGAGCTGTCAGCACAGAGCCCAACGTGGGGCTCGAACCACAAACCATGCGATCATTACCTGAGCTGAAGTCAGACGCCCAACTGACTGAGCCACCCAGGCTCCCCGAGAATAAAATTTTTAAATGGAGGTCATTCAGGTTCTCTATGATTTTTACCCCTGTCTCTTGTTTTGTTTTGTTTTCCTTTTTTAAAAGAAAGTTCAAATAACAGTTACTAGTTTCATGCCACTCAATGAGCTAGACAACTTCTACCATGCTAGACTGTTGGGTTTAAAAAAATTTTTTTAATGTTTATTTATTTTTGAGAGAGAGGGAGAGAGAGAGAGACAGACAGACAGACAGACAGAATCCAAAGCAGGCTCCAGGCTCTGAGCTGTCAGCACAGAGCCCTATACGGGGCTAGAACTCACTAACTATGAGGTCATGACCTGAGCCGAAGTCATTCACTTAACTGAGAGAGCCACCCAGGCGCCCCTAGGCTGTTTTATAGGGGTCCAAATCTCCCTTGTAACGTGGCTACTATTGGACTTTTTGTCCTCTAGCTCACCAAAAAAGTCAATGTCTGTCTGAATCAAACATTTGAACACTGATCAAGCTTTACATTTCCACAGATAAGGACCCTGAAACTCAACATATGCAAAAAGTATAGCAGCAATCGGGAGAGTGCCTAAATACTGCCTGTTGTGGTTATAAAATCAACCCCACCAGACAAGAACATGACATAACAGAAATGAATATGGTCAAATAAAAATGTCACAGAGCATCTCATGTAGTGTAGTAAGATTAGGCATTGTATTGAGATTTGTTTTTTCATTTAAATATCTTTTTTTAAAAAATATTTTATTTATTTCTGAGAGAGAGAGAGAGCGCATGAGCAGGGAAGGGTCGGAGAGAGAGGGAGGTACAGAATCCAAAACAGGCTCCAGGCTCTGAGCTGGCAGTCAGCACAGAGCCTGACGCGGGGCTCGAACCCACGAACTGTGACATCATGACCTGAGCCAAAGTCGGACGCTCAACCGACTGAGCCACCCAGGCGCCCCATTTCATTTATATATCTTAAGCGAACTTAAGATCCTGCCAAACTGAGTTCCCACGTGTGCATTGTTGTATATTGTACATATAGATGTACAGTTCAGGTACAATAGTTTAGTTCAATAAACACTTATGAGATGCCATAGCCTAGACACTATGCTAGACTCTGGGCACAGAGAGATAAAGCATGAGTTTGCTTATTGAATGGATGAATCCCTGGTAAGACACACTGAATTCTATAAGAAAGGATGTGGGCTCTTGATGCACCTGAAGTGAGGATAAGGGGAGAGAAGAGGATTTGCCATCCTTTTTCTCACCACAAAAGAGGGGAGAACGTGACAAGACAGTTTTCCAGTGTTTTCTCTCCTCTCCCACCTCCCCAAGGCTGAGGCAGAAACCCATCCACTTTCTTCTAGAGGAGCAGGGAGCATGAATTTAGCTCCCTTGAGCAACACTTCCTGTCCCATGGGGCCTTAGTATCAGCTGTGTCTTATAAATAATGAGTGAGGAAGAATTGGAAGCAAGTCCTGAAAGCTTCCCTTATTCTCTGACTTCCCAAGAAGATGCTAACAAGTCCATTTCTCACAGCTAATTTGTGTGCTAGTTGGCTCCTATTTCATCCAACTTCTGTATCCTGAGCATGTCACTGTTTTGAAGTTGGCAGTCTATCTGAAAACTTTAAAAAAGTCAGTCACTGCCTATTTTCTTTTCTTCTATATTTTGTGTTTTCTTTCCCTTCCCTGGAAACTTGTCTTCAAGATTCTAATGTTTAGAAAGAATATTCAGAGAGAATAAAGAACAATGGAAATCCTACATACATGAACCAAGAAAATGAAGTGTGAGTTTGGGAGAACTGAGTGTTATTGCTGAGAGCATTCCAGTGGGACAGAGCCTGGCTTCTAAATCAACAGACCAATCATGCCTTCTTCTTTTCTCCTCGTATACAGGTTTTCCTGAGCACTTGGCTCAGAAATCAAACAGCTGCCCCACTAATACTTTAGACCTCTAGTGTTAGTTGTTAAAAGTACCTCCGTGGAAGGAGTACTGCCCTCCCTCATTAGTACTTGGCAAAAGATAATTTCTTGTGTTCTGTGATTTGGTGGAAATTAGAAAGCCAGTATCTCAGCCCACTCACAGGTGGGTTAAACAAACATCTCTGCCCTGGCAGACCTAGTTTTCTCTGTCTCTACCAGCACAGGGCTATGTCTGCTGAGGCCTCTTTGACTCTCTTTCCAGGAGCAATCCCTCAATTTCTGAGCCAGGCCCAGGGAGATTAGGAGGAAAGTAGAATGACCAATAATAACTAAATCTGAGCATCTACACCATGTCAATGGTATGTTAAACACCATTCATAAGGTAAATGTGATTCATTCTCTTTTTGCAGATGAGAAATATAAAGCAGGAAACAGTTAAACAGTGTTGGAAGCTGATGGGATAGAGACTTAAGCCATCACTAGGATGATTGTACATTCTGGTTTACACAAGCACAGTCTCCCTGAAGTCAATGTCTCCACATTATTCTTAATAATACCCCTCCCTCCCCAGTCTCAATTTTAGTTATCTGGTCACCTCGGTGATTGACCTTCTTTGAAAGAGAGTTCTGTGGCCCCAGCAGTTCTCCTGAGTTCCTGTGCCCTTTTACCTCCCATCCAGAGTTTTACTTCCAGTGAGACAGGAAATCAGTACTAAAAAATGGTGTAGGACCTAGATGCTAAATTTGGTTTTTCCTAATCCTGGATTAGGCCAATTTTGAAACCTGAGTTTTGACTAGTTTGTCCCTCTACCGGTTAGCCTGTCTAGTATTCAAACCTTCTATAGGGCTAAGGATCTGTCTTTAAGTAGTTAGAATTCTGATTGAGCTAATTAATATTCTGACCAAACCCTGTAAGGAGGAACCAAATTAGCTTCCCATTGTTCCGAAACAATTTGGGAGACACTTCCCATATGAACAAGATAAGACCCATGAAGCTTTTGGTTACATCTGATTGGTATCATTTCCTATGCTTGGATTAAAAAATAATGGGGGGGGAAGGGTAAAGGTGAAAATATAACAGCACCACTTGATGAAAAAGACATTCATTGGATCAGTGAGGGTGTTGTGGTTATTAAAACACTAATGAGATCTTGGGCCACATTAAAATGATTATAATATCTAAGTAAAGGGTACAACAGATTCATTCCTTGGTTTGCTGATCAAAACAATCTTGGGAAACTCTATTAAAGTAAAATGGTTCTTGGTAGTTAAGATGACTCCGCCCATGACATAAGAGGAATTTTTATTCATTCAACAACTATGTTTTGAATACCCACTGTGTGCTTGGCACTGTGCCAGAGTTGGAAACCTCTGCCCTGTAGAGCCTAGGATCCACTGGGGAACACAAACATTTATCTAATAATCACATAGATATAAAAGTACTGACAGTAATAAAAGCAATGAAGATGTTCCGTGTGCTCTAAGTAGAGCACAACTGGGGAATCTGTGGGCAGTGAATGACACTGCTCCTCTGGAGGAAGTGACAGCTGGACTAAGCACTGAAGGTTGCATTCACGGTAATCAGGATAAAGGATGAGGGAACATTCAGGGCTAGGAAAGGGTCTGCATTAAGGTCTTGAATCAGGAAGGAGGAGTCCATTCATGGACTAAAAGAAATGCGGAGCCAGGGAAGTTTGCTACTTAATCTAAAGAGCAGATTGCAGTGGTGGGAGGCAAGTGGGGTGGGCTTGCTGAGGTGAGAGCCTTCCAGATAACCTGTCCTCTGGAAGGAGAGTTGGCTTGCTACAGCCCCACTGGGTGGAAGCTATAGAAAACCATTTTAGTTTAAAATAAAGAACTTCCTGAGTCAATGTTTTGAAGGCAGTTGAGTTTCAGTCTTCAGAGCTGTTTAAGTGTAAGCTAGATTATGACTTGAATAAATCTCATAGAGATGATAAAAGGATGTTGGGCCTGGTGAATATTTAAATCCATCTCAATAAGAAGGTTTTGTGAATCACATACTTTCAATTAAAAACAAACAAACAACAACAAAGCATACTAGTCTCCCATAGGGGCAAACTTCTGATGAAAGCTGCCATTACAAATTTCCCAAGGACAAAGTGAAGCCCTGGAGATTCCTTTATGGCAAGATTTTCAGAAATCTCAGTCCTGGCTGAAGTTGTACAGTCCTGGGAATACAATTACCTTTTAAGAAAGCTGTTTTTGGGGCGCCTGGGAGGCTCAGTCGGTTGAGTGTCCGACTTAGGCTCAGGTCATGATCTCACAGTTCTCTGGGCTCGAGCCCTGCATTGGGCTCTGTGTTGACAGCTGGCTCAAAACCTGAAGTCTGTTTCAGATTCCGTATCTCCCTCTCTCTCTGACCCTCCCCTGTTCATGCTGTCTCTCTCTCTCTCTCTCTCAGAAATAAAGCTGCCTTTTATCTTACTTTCTCCTTCCTCATCAATCCCCCACCACCCCTAGAGATATCAAAATGTCAAAAATGCTGACTCATTATTGCTGATTGTGTATGACCTGCACACAGCTGAAGTGTGAGGAGAAAACAAGACTGTTCCCTACAAAACTGTAAACTTTGATTCAACTGTTGAATAAAAACTGTAGCTGGACAAAGGTGCTTTTAAGGTAGCTCTCTTCTGATAAACCTAGTCTTTTCTTCTAATTCCTTTTAATTTTGTATTTTGGAATGATCTGGAATTTCTAGAATTTTCTTTTGCACAGCAAACTGTACATAGTCACCCTTGCTAGACTGCCCACTTAGTCATTTTTGTGTAAAAGAGAGAGTTCTTTCTCTTGCAAAACAGCAAGGAAAGCAAAGAAAGAATATTCTTTAGAGTAAAGCACATATGTTTTTTATCATAAACTAGAATTGATATAAAATATCTGAATCAGTGGTTATAGACAATTATGAAGAACCCTTTTTTAAATATATACATGCTTTGGTTAACCCCATGCAAAAGCCCTGTGTGCCTTTTATAGACTCTCATAAAATTTCTTCAAGCCAGATGTTGAGTTTTACTGAAACATAACACTTTCTAGTTGCCTCCCAGCCACACACACCTGAAATACACATGCATGCACACACACACACACACACACACACACACACACACACAGAGTAGGCTGAGGACATACCTAGTTTCCAATATCCTTTTTCAATGATAATCCAATGACCTTAAGATGACTGTGGAATGTTTCTCCCCGTGACTTTGACATCATAGAAGGCATAGGTCCAGATTCTGTTGAGAGGGAAAGAAAGTGCCATCGTCCCTTTCAATGCCAGTGTTTTTCATCTACAAATTACTTTACTATGTTTCTTTTACTAGGAGAACTTTAAATTCTCAGATACCTTGGAATTCTCAAGGCCTTCTCCGAAAATGTGCCACAGCATCTAAAGCCCCTAATAGGGCCTTCTGGTGACTTGAATCTTTCCTATAAGCCAGCATTTGCTTTAAGCTCCAAATAAAAGGTAAACTTTCATTTAGTAAAAAAAAAAATCCCTTTTAAAAACTGTTTATTATATTTCCAGCTCTGTGGTAGGTACTAAAGATATAATGATGAATGCAATTTTGTAGTTTTGAGGTGAATTATATCAAGGGGAACCTGACAAATAATGATATACAGTGATGAATGCTAATAGGAATATGAACATTATGCATGCCAGCATTCTTATTTCTTTTTGGGTCATGGACCCTTCTGAGAACATAATGGTCTGTATTAGTTACCTGTTGTTAGATAATACATTTTTGTCTGGATGCTTAGCAGCTTAAAACACATTTGTTATCTCACACAATTACTAAAGTTCAAGAATTCAGCAGTAGCTTAGCTGGATTGTTCTGGTTTAGGGTCTCTCATGACATTGCAGTCAAGCTTTCTGTTGGGGCTGCTGTCAGCTGAAGGCTTGACTGGGGCTGGAAGGCTTGCTTTCAATATGGCTCATTCTACATGCCCATTGGAAGGAGGCATCAAGGAGTCCCCTATAGGCTGTGTTAGAAATACTTCATTACTAGCCACATGAGCCTCTTAACAAGATTGATCATGACATGGAAGTTGGCTTTCCTCAGAGCAAGTGACCCATGAAAAAGGCAGAAAAGAAAACCGTGATGCTTTTTATGACCTAGTATCAGAAGTGACATACCATCACTTATGCAGCACTGGATTGCTCTATAGACCAATCTTTTACTTTTACTTTTTCTTTTTCTTTTCCTTTTCCTTTTTCTTTTTCTTCTTGAGAGAGAGAGAGCATGCAAGTAGGGGAGAGGGTCAGAGGGAAAAAGAGAGAGAGAATCTTAAGCAGTCTCCACACTCAGTGAAGAGTGACACAGGGCTCAATGCCAGGACCCTTAGATCATGCCCTGAGCTGAAATCAAGAGTTGGATGCTCAATCAATGGAGCCACCCAGGCCCCGCATCTATTGGTCTATAGTCCAATCTTGATAAAATTTGGAAGAAGACTACAAAAAGGCATGAATAACAGGAGGCAGAGAACTTTGGAGGCCATCTGTAGAGTTGATTACCCCTTCCCAGAAAATATGTCATAAACCTTGGGCTAAGAAATGCTATACTAATAGAGGGCCAGAAGTGCCTGGATAAGCAAGAAAGCTTTTGCAAACATTGTGAGCTTAATCATAGCCTTGCAAAGTGATCATTTCATCAGTGGGTGGGATAGACAGGCAGGTGGATATTCCAGGCAGATTAAACAGGAAAAGCACACAAATGTGACAAAAGTCATCCTACATTTGGGAAACCACAAGACACTCAAAGTGCCTAAAGAATAGAAAATGTGAGAGACATAAGCCTGGGTCAGGTCACAGGAGACTTTGAAAGCCATGCCAGCGAGAATGACTTTTATTGTTCACTGTGGAGAACCTGTGAAGTCACATAAGGGCCTGATTTACAAAACCCAATTTATATTTTAGAAAGATTGTTCTGTCCATTAATTAAAGATGGAAAGTAAAGAGCTCAGGTGGGAAGCTCTTACACTGGTATGGAGACAAGACACAATAATGACATGAGCTGGGCCATGAATAGTGGGAATGGCATGGAGAGTTCATATCCAAGGGTTTGTTAGGAGGTAAAATGTATCGCAATTTGCAATCAATTGATGTGGGAAATGAAAGAAAATAAAACATGACTGAAGCTTATGCACTTTCTCTCTGGACAACCGTCAAAAGAGGCTCTATCTGGGGAGGTGATAAAGCATAAATATGAGTTTTGAGATATTTGATAAGTATTGTCCAATGCATAGCCACTGGAAAAAACATGCAGGTGAAAACTTCAAAAAATAAGTTTCCATGGAGGTTTAAAAAATACTGTGAGTCTTATGCTACTGGAGATTTACAATGCACAATCGATATATTAAAGATGAAAGTTTTTGTTGTTGTTGTTTTCCAATAAAGAGATCCATATATTCAAGGTAATGTTTCAAAAAACATTTGACAATGGAACTTTTTGCTCTACCTCTATTAACATACTGCAAATCTAGCATTCTGGGTAACAATTTATACTTCATAACAATTTACAGTTTGGTCAACTCATCAGTAAAAGGCCGACAAAAATTGCCAAAAATGACATTGCAACAAAGTAGTTACCGATTTTTTAAGCTTCGCATTAGTCATGGTACAGTCTTTAGGAACTAATTTTTAATTTTAATTTATAAAGAAAATCAAATTGAGTTTTATTCTTTTAGCTATTTCAGTATTCGCAGTTCTCTCTATCCCAACTAATACCCAATAAGGTTTTTAAAACCACACAAAGAAACAAAATTGTACTTCGGGGAATAAAAATGCTTCCCAGCTGAAAAACACACCAAGTTTTTAGTCCAATACAATAGTTACTTGTTGCTATATAACAAATGTTTGCCCCCCAAAGTGCTGCCTCATGTTGAGGTTTCAAAAAGAAAAAGACTTCATGGCCCTGATGATAAGTGGTGTGTCAGCCGATGTGTTTTAAGTGAGTGATGCTTATGAGAAACTGACAACAGGCTGACATCATAGGATGGTGATCGGTCCTGAATCCCCGCTCCAAAGTGAGGAAAGTTTATAGCAAAGCTGGAAATCCACAATGGTTCCTGAGGCTAAACAGAAGGTGTTTCTGCACCTATAAATTAATGCAGACGTTGAATATTACCCAAGGGAAAATAATTTGCTTCAAAGTATAGTGTTTTTTAAGCTTCAAATTTCCGATTATAATCCCAAAGGGCCCAGTATGTTACCTGGAGATGGAATAGTATAGCAATTGAGAGGAAGGTTTAAACTGGGTGAGTCCTGATTCTGCTCTGTATTGCTATGGAACTGAGAAAGTTACATAAACTTGTTTTTCTTGTTTTCTCGACTATAATTTGGAGGTAGTAATGCATCCATCTAGGGTTTTGTGAAAATTAAAAGAGTAACTCGCAGGATCCTCAATTAAGATGAGCTATTATTATAATATCAGCAAAAAGGCAATTTCCACATATAATCTGGATCAACCTAATTCAGAAAAAAATTAGATAGATTTCACAGTGGTAACAAAATAATGACAATCCCTTAGGTTTGAACAGTGTTTCAGAGTATATGAGCGATTCCACGTCGCTAAGCTTATTTGATAATAAAGCACGCTCCTAATAGAATCCTGTTAGCAAAGCTCTGTCCAGCCGCTGGTGGGAAACGGATAAGCCTAGTGAGCCAGGCAAGCACAGGACCGACAGCCATTAGTGAGAAATAACAGATGGTGTCTCATTTTTTGCTATAGGCAAAGATCCAAATGACATGACTAAATAGAAAGACAGCCCCATAGGACTGCATTCAGGCTCCTACTGAGCACGGAGCCTGAAAGGCAGGGACATTTTTAATAACCTTTCTTTGACAAGCTTAAAGCCATTTAATGTCTAAACCTGTCATACACATCCAGCCAGGAGAATAGACCTCCAGAGAAAACCCCAGAGCACACAGTCTCACCTCCCTGTGAAAAAATAAAAATTCCATGCACACATTACCAAAAAAATTATTCAGCACGGTCACGAAATGCTTACTTTCCATTTAAATAAAAACAATCATTGTCCTTAACGGCAACGTTCTAGACCCGCTTCCCATTCTGCATTGGATGAAAAGTTGAGTTTCCATCTAGTCATTATTAAATAAAACAATAGAGGACTTGTGCCTGCTTTAGCTGAAATTTTAGTTCAGTCTAATTAGAAGGAAATGTATTATAAATTATTATGCGTTGAAAGTCTACACCAAAAAAAAAAGAAAGAAAGAAAGAAAATGAACTCATAATTCTTTATATATTGGATTTCACTTTTTCATCAATTCAATTGAAACAACAAGTAATTGCTTCTTTTTAAACAGCTTCTGAAGTAGATGGGAAAAAATCAGTAATCAACATGATTAAAATCTTTGTTATTCTGTCCATTGCTATAATATTCACCAGTGGTGCACCAGTGATCTGCAAAAACATTCACGATGGCAAATTTATCTAATAAATTGTATTTGTTTTGCAACGAGTCAGCTAGTAGGAGCATGAGTGTGGACATGAATTTGATTTTCCCTGGAGTCCGTGGCTTCATCTTGCCCCAGCTGTTTCATTTTCTTCTCATCACCAAATCATTTTATTATAATAACTTTCCATGCTTTCCTCTCCTATAGTTTTATGTGAATACAAGCATAGAAGAGTTACCTCCATGCTGAGCAGTGGGCCTAAGGTTTACATTTAAAGTCTACCTCAAATGTACATTTGTCAGGAGGAAGAAGGCTGATAGAAAAAAACCAGTTTGAAAAATATCACTTTATCATTACTTAACCATATTATGTGACAACTTATTTACAAGGCCTATAATGGGAAAAAAATCACCTTAGTAGAAACAGTGATAATAATGCCTGTTTGTTCTATAGATTAATAGATTAAACTCAAGGGAAACAGACTCACTCATTGCCGTTTCTAGGTAGACCCACCATAATTGTCTATAGTCTCCTTTTAAATCGCTCATGCCAAAACGTGATTTCAAACTAGAGATATATGCTTATTTGCAAATTCAACAACATTGTAAATTCCATGAAAGAGGCACTGGTTCTTGTTTGCCACTATATTTCCATGCCACCCAGACATGTTAGGGGCTTAATGACGATTTGTTGCATATGTAATGGAATCAGCAGCAGAAAATGGATAGGACTGTAAAAGTGCAGTTAAGCAACTGAAGTGAGTTAGAACGCAGTTTATCCT